TGTTTGGAATAATTCTACTCAACAAAATAGAAATTTTTATTCTAATTTTATTATACAATTTTATACTTCAACTCTTAAAAAAAAATAATTTGTATAACTTGTTACAAGAAAACAATAAGTGAATAAAGATGTTGATATATACTATACTATTATTTAAGATAAATAGAATTAGAAGGTTAACAATATCTAGATACAGCCAAAGTGCAGATTTTTTTAAATAGATTAAGGCCTAAGATTATTTTGATGATTGATTATTAACTCATAATACCTTACAAGCAGCTTATAAAAGAGCTAAGACTTATAAAAGTATCTGTAAACAAAATCTACTATATTATATCATTTTTTTTAATATTTTTTATTTTATTAAACCTGTTTTTTCTATGTTTATTAAACTTTAAGTTCCAGTTATAGTCACTGAATTGGCTATAAAAAAGTTAACTAAGTCCATTAATAGGAAGCTAATTTAGTTGCAAGATTAAAAGCCATCTATTACAAAAAATCTAAATTATTCTGTCTGTTATAAATATGAGTAAGCTAGCATATTAGTCAAATTGTAGAACATCTAACCAACCATCTAGTTTTTCTTCTAATTCTTCTATTTAACTGTTAAATCTAAATTCTAGTTAAGTTCTAATAAATCCTTAGCTTAGTTTTCTTCAATTTAATATTATAAGCTATATTGCCAATAATGTTTTTGAAAACCAATAGCAGAAGGTTTATTAAACTTTTTTAGCTTTAGCCATCAATTTGAATTTTTAGATACTTAAAATAATTAATATATTTATATTAGTATCCTAGCTGAAGATATTTCTTTGTTTGTTATTAAAAAAAGAGACTCTTAGTATTCTAATAAAAATCTCTGACCTAGTAAAGTATAAAGAAAACAAAAGAGTTAGAAAAAGAAACTCTAAAATACCTTTTAAAAAAAGAAGCTGAAGAGAAAAAAAGTTAAAAAGCTCTCTAAAAAACTTGTGAAGCTCGCTACTGCCTATACTAAAGTTGTTTTAGTTAAGTCAAAATGCTTTATAGTAGTTAGAAAAAAATTTTGAAAAATAAACTTTTTCAAATTGTTTTATTTGTTTCTTTTTATTCTATTGTTTCAGATATAAGAGGCAAACCTGTTAATATTACTATTGGGCAGTTTTTTTGAGCAGTTTTTTCTATAAGAATTAATTTAGAAAAAAGTCTTCAAAATAAAAAGACTCTTATTAAATAAAAAATTCAAATAAATATTAGTATAAATTAAGAGAAAAAGTCTACAATTTCATATTGTGATGCTATGATCTTGAAAAAAACTATATCTTTGATTATAAACTGTAGCTTATCTAGTAATGTTATTTTATCTTATCTTTTAAAAAGTTTAGAAATTAAAGTTAAATGTCTCTTGACTATTAACATGATGAATGTATATAAAGTAAGAGAATTTTTTAAGAGAAATTTTGAAATTTTTTTTAATATTAAAGGTATAAAAATTCTAATTAATATAATTACTACTGACATAGGATTCTATCAAGTTATTATTAAAAATAATTAGCTTTCTAAACTCCAGACCAAGATTGATTGAACTAATTCTAAAATGATTCTTATCTAAAAAGAAAAAGAAGCTACTATTATTGTTGAATTCTGAAAGTTCATTCTTAAATTCATAGATAAGAACTGCCTTACCAAAATCAGAAGTATAAATTAAGAATTCAAGAAAGAAACTAATAATGACTTTGATGAATATAAGAATAAATATGAAAAGAAAAAGTTGAAAAAAGAATATACAAATATTCAAAAATAGAGAACATTGATATTTCTAATATATCTTCTACAACTACCTCTATAATAAATTCTTTTAGTAATAGAAATCATAACTCACTAAATATATTTTTTTGTTTATTTTTCTTTTCTAAAGATAAATTAATTTATAACTTTCTTTTAAATATTCTAGCTTTATCTTTTTCTCATATTCTTCTTTTTAAGATTGATGTTTCTAATTTCTTACTTTTTAACTTCTCAGTTTCTAGTATTGCTAGATTTCAAACTCCAATATTACTTAATATCTATAGACAAAAAAAAACACTTACCACTATTCAATTTGAATACTTTACTTCTTCTAGTATATTACAACTCAGATTTGATAAGTTCTAGTAAGAATGAATTGTATTTAATTTGGACTTTTGATAATGTTAAGAAAGAGGTAGTTGTGTTCAGCTCTAATACTAATAAGGATATAAATAAAGAATAATATTAAAAAAAGTTGAAAAAAATGAAAACCAAGCTGTCTTATATAAATACTTTTATAATAATCCTAGAAATATGTACTTTTGAGAAAATAATTCTAAACCAGATTCTTGAAGGTATATTGCTAGTTCCTTTGTAATAGAAATAAAAAGTTTATTAGTTAGTGATCTCTTTGATTATTACTATAAGAGAAAACAAGATTCTTACCAAATTAGCAAATTAGAACCTTAGTAATATTTTTAACTACAGAGGTTCTTGTATAACAATCTGAATTTTTTATATAAAAGAAGAAACTATTAGAATACATAAATCTTATAAAACATAAAATTGCTACTAGAGATATGTTATCAATTAAGTAACACACCTGCTATTACTCTTTTTGCTAAGAGAAATATTATCAAAAATAAAATCTTTTATATGATATTTGAGAGTATAATCTGTTTTTGTCAAAGCCCTTGAACTTCTTCTGTCATTCTTGTTTTTAAAGAAGATAGAAGTATTCAGTTTTGTATTAATTATCATAAATTAAATACAATAAATTTTAGAGATAATTATTAACTTTTTCATATAAATGCTTTATTCAATGCTTTTACAGAATTCTGTTAATATAGTTTATTAAATCTTGTTAGTGAATACTGATAGGTTAAGGTAAAACCAACTGATAGATCAAAAACTACTTTTAATATTTTTTTTGAAACTTATGAGTTCACTGTTATGTGCTTTGAGCTTACTAATGCTTTAGCTATATTTTAACAGTTAATGGACTATATTTTTCAGAATCTAGTAAATAAAAATATTGTAATATATTTAGATAATATCAATGTCTAGTCAAAAACATTTGATAAATATTTAAAATATTTGAAAGAAGTTTTTAATAAATTTAGATAAGCTAAGCTAAAATTAAAGCCTACCAAATATTATTTTGCTAAATAAAAGCTAAGATTTCTTAGTCAAATTATTAGTAAGAAGAAAATTGCAACAAACTCAAAGAAAATGAAACTTATAAAAAACTTCACTATTTCTAAAACTATTTGGCAACTTTGTAGGTTTTTGAAATTAGTATTCTATTTTAAAAAGTTTGTTTGAAAGTTTACTAATATTATTACTTCTTTAAATTATTTATTAAAAAAGAATATTAGTTATAAATAAAGAGCTAACTAGCAAAAGACTTTTGTAATCTTAAAAGAAAATTAATTTTAGCTTATATTTAGTTTATTTGGATTTTTTAAAATCTTTATCTTATTTACAGATGTCTTAGATATTACTTTTGCTACTATTTTAGATCAAAATAATAAAAATCTAATAAACAAGTTATAGCCTATGCTAGTTGAACCTTAATCTTTATATTAAAAAATTATTCAGTGACTGAAAAAAAATGTCTGGTTGTTGTATAGACTAGAGTATTTTTATCTTTATTTATATAAAAATTAATTTTTTTTGTATATCAATTATTCTGGCTTAAAGTATTTTTTATTATCAAATTACCTCAAAATTGACTTGTCTAATAGGCTATAACATTTATAAAATATTTGTTTACCATCATGTATAAATCTGAAAAATAATATACTAATGCTGATAGGCTTTTTGGATCTAAAAAATAAATAAGTAAATAATTAGAAAAAAGTAAAAAAAAATTTATTTATTAAATTTATTAATTCAGTTTAGGTTACAATATTTTGACACATTTTTATAAATATCTATTTAAAAAAAAATAAAATAAAAAAATAAATAGAAATAGAAACTATAATTTATATTTTAAGTATCTTTTAAGTATACTCAATTTTTTAACTTATACTTCAAGTCAAATAAGAAAACTAAAGTTCAAAACTCAGTATTATATAATAATTGAAGGACTCCTGTATAAAGTTAATTATCATGACCCTTCATGCCTATTAAGAATTTTAAAAAAAGACAAAACTGAAATAATACTCTTTAGCTTACATAATAATTTCTTTTCTAAACATTTCAGTTTCAATACTATTTATAAATGCATAGTTATTTGATATTATTGACTTCAAATAGAAGAAGATATTAAAAAATATATATGTTTTTGTAATTTGTACTAAAAAAAGAAGAACCTCTGTTAGGTTTAGGTTACAGATAAAATGTCTGAGTCTTTATTCTTCATATGGAATTTAAAAGCAAGCTTTTCTTTATAAAAACTTCAATTGAATTTCAATAAAATTAAAGACATGGCCTCATTATTAATATTTAAAAAAAAAGAAGAACCTCTGTATATATAAATTCTTGTATCTGATTAAAATTAAAAGACCTTTTGACTATATTATAATCAATATTGTTGGACTCTTTTTTGTAACCTCTAAATATAAGAAATATATAGAAATAACTACTAAATACCTTTTTAAATAACTCAAAGCAATGCATTGAAGAAAGCAGATACTAAAAATGTTATAGATTTCTTTTCAATAAAATAATCTATTAACATGTAAGCCCTAAAGAATTACTATCAGAATAAGGCATGCATTTCTGAAACTGTTTTGTTACTGCTTTAAGTAAGAGAATAAATTTTGGCTATTATATATTACTGCCTATTATCCACAGACCAACAAACTAGTTAAAAGGTTTAATTAAACTCTTTGTACAATATTAAACAAATGTATTAATCAGTTTAATATAAATAAGATAAATGTATTAATGCAACTTTGTTTATATATTAAGTAATAAAAAATAATACTGCAAGTTATGAATCTTTCTTCTTATTATATAGTTAGAAGGCAGTTCTTCTAATTAAGACCAATTTAGTAATAGTTCAAATGAGGCCTGAAATTGAGAATAAGTTGGTAAAACAAGTATTAAGAAGACTAGAAAAGATATATAAAAAATTAATAAAAACATAATAACAGACTAAGAGTTGAATAAAAAAAATGTAGAATAAATAAAAAAAAATACAAAAGAGAAAATAAAATCAAGTTATATAAAATAGATAATCAAGTTTTTTTATATCAATCAGATTTAGCTATATTATATAGCAGTAAATTAGAATTTCAAAATCTGAGTCTCTATTATATATATAAAGTAATAGATAAAGGACTTTAAAAGTTATAAACAATGGATGCTCATGTGATCAAAAAAAGCCTATAGAAACTAATTGTTATACTACTACTCTTAACAAAAATGTTACAAGACTTTTTAATATATGATTAATAAAAATAAAAAATCATAAACATTCTTTTTCTACTAAGTATTTTCTTTTCTTTTTCTAATATTCAGTATAGCAAACAAAATTCTAATTAAAATTTAAAAGACTTTAGTTACTTTAAAGACTCAAATGAAGATGATTGTTTTTAAAGAAACTTATCTCATCTTTGATAATAGTGTACTTTATTTTTCTGATTAACAAACTTGAATAATAAAAATTAAGATGATTAAATGCCAAAATGATACTTAAAAGCTATACTAGTGACTTTCTTTATTTCTTGAGATTTTTGATATAACATTACTATTAGTCTTCCAATTCAGATGCTCTTAGGTATCATCTGAACTAATAAAGTTATTCATATTTGTAACTAGCTTTCTACTAGTAACTTTTATTATGCTACTCAATTACTGCAATACAATGCTCTTAAATATTTATTAGAAGAAAAGTATAAAATAAAGAGACAAAAGCTTTAGTTAAATAATTCTTACTACAAAAATATTAGAATATTATAATTATTGACCAAAGAATCTACCTTCTATATCAATTTATAACCCTTTTTATCTCTTTATTTTTCAGTTCATTAAACTATACATTCTTCAATAATTATTAAAAAATAATTTTGTTGTATTATAGACCAAAGCCTGATTTTTAGCTTAACAAAAAATAGATAAAGTATTAGGATCAATAAATTTTACAGAGGCTCAATTCTGAGAAAAGGCATATGTAACTAATTAAAATTTAATTTCTAAAATTTTTATTTTTTAGTAGATTTTCTGCATATATTCTGTTTAGTTGTAGTTCCCTATCTATTTTAATGACAATATTCAATTTTAGACAATTTATTAATTTTTTTAAATATTTATCAATTATACTAAAAAGGTAAAGTATAGATAACTTAATGGCTTGACACATGTGAATCACAAAAACATCTAAATAATTACAATACATTATTATACTAAAATGTATATGCTGCACTTTGAGTGAATGCATTTAAATTAAGATGTATTCATTTAAAGTCAGGTATAAATATCTTGAATAAAAACATATAAGATCTCTGAATTTAATAAAGAATAGACAGTTCTCTCATTTATAATTAATTGCTAATAAAACAAATAAATAATAAAGTATTTACTTATCTAAATTTTTTCTTGTAAATGATCTCTTAAATCTATTTTGTAATATTAGTAAACTTACTAAGACTCATTTCAATAGACTAAATTGACTTGTAACTTTGATTTTGACTTATAAATTTAATGTTATAATAAAATTAAATATTGTCATTCCTAACTCTTGTAGAAATATAAGTTGAAAATGTCTCTGTTAATCTGTTATGTAGACTTAGGAATATTATTACTTATACTTGTTTATTGTTAGCTTTATTTCCATCACTTATAATTAAACATTACTAAATCAATATTATGGTCTTTAAGATTATTACTCTTAACAGCATCACCTATAGATGCATCACTTCTTAATTAATATCAAAGCACTGTATTATCATAATAAATATTCAAATAAAAAGATTATGATTTAATAAAGTTTATTACATAATTAATATATTTTTATTAGTAAAATAATATGTAATACATAAGTATTTTATTTTACTTTATGAAAGTTTTATAGTAGACTACTTTTTTTTATACCTTGCATGATAAAATTTATAATTAATTGTGACAGATTAAAATGAAATCAGATTACAATAAAATGAGTGATAGTATCAAATAGAAAAACCACTAAAAAATATAAAATTGTGAGGTGCATTTTTTAACATTTTTTTTAAAGTTAGGATTAGTGTTTAGAGGTAGATTTTATTATAAAAGTTTTATGAAGTCAAATAGAAATTCTTCATTTTATTTTGATCTAATTTCATTATAATCTGTGACAATAATTAAGTATCACAAAGATCATACAAATAACTTTATCAAGCAACAACTGAATACTAATGAACTAAATGTAATAGAAAAGATATTTGTTAAAAGTATTAATGGATTTCTCAAGTATCAATTGCAATTCTTGTTTGATTAATTATAGCCACGTTATTAGCTAATCACATAGAGAATAACGTTTGTGCAAACTTTGTTTACTTCTTAATTTGCTTATTCGTTTTGTTATCAAAAATATAATTATAGTTGTGCTCGATTACAATCATGAACTAATTACATCATATGTGCCAGATTGGTGGCACATTAATTAACCAAAGTAATTTGCTATGAAAAAATCTTAATAATTAAAGTACGGTACACTATGATGAAATCACAAATTTTAGTAAACAAAAAAAAACATCATTTTTTAAAGATTCTGAAAGTTACTTCTACTGATTCATGTTTTTAAATTTTATTTGACTCGGGTCAAATGATCTCCCCTAAAATTTAGGCAAACATTACAGTCAAACCTCAGTTTCATCATTCCTTTTGTCTAGAGAGTTTTTGGGTATATAACTTAGGTAGAGATATAACTGAGGCAATATTTAATAAATATAGAATATTTATTCTGCTAAATGGTGGAGATGTAACTTAGGCTGATATACAATGACATTAACGAACCGCATTAACTCTAAATTTTATTGGAGGTGTCATTTTGACCCGGGTCAACATAGAATTTCCTTTTTTGATTTTCAAAAAAAGTACATCCTCTTTGTCTCTCATTACTTTTAGTATAAAATATTTCATAAGTGCACATTTCAGGATCAAACTTTATTGGCGTACACTTAGAGAATAATAAGAAAAGAGTGTATTTATAAAGGGCATGTATAGATTTGGGCCTAAATTTAAGCATGTATTTAGAGATGTTGTGCACTTATAGAGGGTGTATTTAAGGAGGTTCCACTATAAATATAAAATCTATGTAAATTTAATTTATTCTATATAAAAATAATTTAATTTACTTCAGCTATTTTTCAAAAGTGACCAAGGTAATCACCGATCGATGCACTAAGTAAAAATATTCAGCATTCTCGAAAACTCCCAAAACCCCTAATTTAAACTTTAAAATCTAATCCTAGCTTTAATGTTTAAGTTAAAAATTTTTGTTTTTTTATATAATTCAACGTAGAAATATATATAAATAGATATGTAAACTTACATTGCGTTTATAAAGTTTTTGTAAAGGTACAGTATATACGTAATTCTACATAAAAAACAACTTCGTGATGATATGATTTTATAAAATTTAAATTTATTTAATTTATTAAAATTTTTGATATGTCCAATAAAAACTTCATCTGCTCATTTATCCAATAAATTTATTTGGACACTTGGACATCGTTCAAGTATTCAATGTTTTAATGTATCGTATCTGGTCTAGTATGCTGTTTTTATTTATTTTTTTTTTTGACTTTGAGCTCATACACATAAACAAAATTTTCGTGATTCTGATTGGTTGATTTATACAAAAAATCACGTTGGTACAGGACCCAATTTTTTTTTTATGAAATTGGTTTTATCGTTACATATAGGCTAAATTCTAAATGCATGTTTCACAAAATTTTCCTTTGTTTATATAACGGAGTAAATTCCGATTTCTTAGACGTTATTCTAAATTCATAGTTATCTCAAAATGATAAAGTTACCGAACGAATGCCTTTTTGAAATATTTAATAATTTTTGTAATAATTTTCGAACTGATTATAAAAGCTTATTTTCATGCCTTCTTGTAAACCGTCAATGGTGTAGAATCATTGTACCAATATTATGGAGTGAACCTACAAAGAATTTTTGTGATAAAAGACTTATAAGAATATATCTTTTAGCATTAAATATTGAAGAACAAGCTTTATTGATTCCCTTTAAAATTATTCTTCCAAATTATCCAAGGCCATTATTTCAGTACGAAAGTTATACTACATCTGTTGGTCTTTTGAATAATGGAGTTATAAATTGGCTCAAAAATGAAGGATATGAAGTAGATATCTTTCAAAAAGATATACGTTACGATGCTATCAGATGCGCTTTAGTGGAAATGTTTCTGCGAGCAAGTAAAAATCTTAAATATTTAACGCTTACCAGTGCTGTTAATAAATCAACATTCACAGATGCACTTTGCAAGACTACCACGCTGGTTTCTTTGAAAATTTTTTGTGATAACCTTGGATCAGAAAGATTAACAGCACTTGCTAATGCACTTTGCAAGAACAGCACGTTAACTTCCTTGATTATTTTATATAATTACCTTGGATCAGAAGGAGGAGCAGCACTTGCTAATGCACTTTGCAAGAATACTACGTTATTTTCTTTGGATCTCCAAAACAATAACCTTGGATCAGAAGGAGGAACAGCAATTGCTAATGCCCTTTACAAGAACAGCACGTTAACTTCCTTGGTTATTCAATCTAATAATCTTGGATCAAAAGGAGGAGAAGCTTTAGCAAATGCACTTTGCAAGAACACTACTCTGACTTCTTTGGTTCTCCATGATAATGAACTTGGGTCAGAAGGAGGAAAGGCATTTGCAGATGCACTTTGCAAAAACTCCACGATGACTTATTTGGTTCTTGGCAAGAATAATCTTGGACCGGATGTCGGAAAAAAACTAGCAAATGCACTTTGTAAGAATACCGCATTGAAAATGTTGAGTTTGAGTTATAATAATCTTGGATCAGAAGGAGGAAAAGCATTAGCAAATGCACTTTGTATAAATACCACATTGGAAAATTTGTGGCTTAATCATAATAATCTTGGATCAGAAGGAGGAAAAGCAGTAGCAGATGCGCTTTGCAAGAACACCACCCTGAAAATTTTGAATCTTACTAATAATCAACTTGGATTAGACGGAGGAAAAGCATTTGGAGAAGTACTTTACAAGAACACCACTTTGACTTCTTTAAATCTTCTTTGTAATAAATTAAGACCAGAAGTAGGAAAATTATTTGCAGATGCACTTTGCGAAAACACCACCTTAACTTCTTTATTTCTTGGTTTGAATCACCTTGGATCAAAAGGAGGAAAAGCATTAGCAGATGCACTTTCTAAAAACATCACTCTTACTTCTTTGGATCTTTCTAATAATAAACTTGGATCAGAAGGAAGAGAAGCATTTAGGGACGCACTTTTGAAGAACACTACACTGGAAAAATTGGATGTTTCTGGTAATAAGATTAAATTTATCATTAAATCCAAGAATCCAAATATTACAATAAACCAGTAAATTATATTGTACAAATGTAAATGTTCAATGTAGTATTTATCAACGAATTAATACCAATAAATTAAACATTTAAATTATTAATAAACAAAATTTTACGACCTTCAGATTATTACCTGTTAGAATTCTGTTTTAAGAGTATTTCATATTGTGTGCTTATATAAGCAAACCAATCAGAATACTTTTAACACGGCGGGTACATTGTAGCTGTAAATCTTTAATATACAGTATGCTCAAGATTATTGGCAGTGGCATAGTTATTTGAAATTTCATCAATATTTCTTTGTTTCGTGATTTAGGGATAAACTTTTGGAAGTTATTGTTCATCAATTAA